TCACATCTAGCCAGCTCAACTGTAAATTGTTAAGACCTTGTTTCAAATCTATTACTGCGCTTAAATTCATAAAGCCTAGGTACCATTAAGGTACGTTCATCTGAACAATTACCAAGAAAGCATTTATAGAAAATGTACAGGGAAGCAACTTGGCGTTTGGAATGTATGCGAAACTGTGACGCCAGGTCAGGACCAATAATATTACTGAATCTTCTTTGGGTTTTATAGAAGAATCTCTAATCGAACCTGTATCCTATACGGAACCGTCATATAGCCTGACGTACTTTTACCGATTTCGCCACAGAGGAGCGTTCGGTTAGCAAGGTCGATTTTAGTGTTTTTAAACTAAAATTTTCCATGATTTTCTCACGTACATTCATATCTGCTCGATGCGAATCCAAATGTAAACAAATGACGTCACACATTATTTCTCGGACATTCAGGCCGGTAAATGTTGTTAATACTGTTTATTATAAACAGAGCGTTTACTTAAATATTTGTATCTATAAAAAGAATGTATAAAGATAAAAATGTTTTAAAATAATTGTCGGACTTTGTCCATTTCATAATGTGTGACGTCATTTGTTTACATTTGGATACGCATCGAGCAGATATGAATGTACGTGAGAAAATCATGGAAAATTGTAGTTTAAAAACACTAAAATCGACCTTGCTAACGTGGCTGAATCGGTTAAGGCACATCAGGCTATATGAAAGAATCTCTAAATATATAGCAAGAACACCGGACCATATGTGGCAGTAAGCTTCTAAGCATGGACGAATGGTAGACTTATAGATATGTAAGATAGATTCTGAATAGAAAAACTATCTAGAACGAAAGAGTGAACCTGCTCTCTTAGGAGTTGAACTAGCAATTGATTCAATATAATCTCTCCACTCCGTGTCAGCCGAAAATGTTAACCCGAGAAGGTGGTACAAGTTACACTCCTGGAGGTTAGAATCAGCCATTCTAATGGAAGACAGAAAGGGCTCTCTCCGAAGTGGAATGGATAGGATAAAGGCAATAATATCCCGTGGAGGACGATGATTGTGGCGGTCCTGGACGAACGTAAAAGAAGATAAAATTTAACCCGATTGGGGCGCTCATGAAATTGACGAGAGAATTCCGACTATTAAAGATTCCTGCCTTTTCTTCTTGTTTATACTTATTCAGTCGATCTCAGTATGCGCAGTTTTTAAATTCCAAATCTTATATAAGTTAGCGACGTTCAAGTCTCGCCTTGAGCCAGATAACCGTCCGCTGCGTTTCGCTTTCCCGTTTTCAAACCAGCTCAATAGATCAGCGATTTAGATTACTTGATCCGTCCATAAACGAGTCAATCAAAATGAAACTGAGAATGACCATCAACCGAGAGTATCATTATCTGGATAAGCCGAGGTGTCAAGTGTAAAGGAATTGAATACTTGGACAGAACAGTAGCTTAAAGGGAACTCATCTCTAAGCTGATATATTTATAATATTGCCACAATGTCTTTACGAGTCAGGGTCGCCATCGGACGATCTAAGCAAAACAGCCCTGGTTGATAAAGTCACACTATCAGCTAATCTTTGATCTCCGATATTAAACGTATTGAAGAAACTTCTATTTAGGGTCTTTGCTGCTACCGTTTTCCAATTTCGTTTGCCTCATCGAACACCGAAGCTTTATTGATCTCTGACAGGAGCGTGGATGACGGGTTGGCTGAATCAACTGATTACTGATGTACATATCAGCACTGAATTACCGACACTATTACTACTATCAAAGCTATTGACACGAGTAAATCCATGCTTCAAATTTGAGCGATCCGATAACAAGATTGAACGCAACGGGAGAGGTGGTGGCTGTTTTCGACGGGAGAGAATCTTAGTAACAACCATTAGCAGTAACTTTCTGATAACCCAGCCATAAGGGAACGCATGCAGAATAAAGAGCCACCTACACACACGTTTACCGGCAATAACGGCTGCCCACCCGCATAGAAGTATGACTATCAATACGTTTTACCAAATCGCCGTTATAAAATAGAATAACTCTAGCACAGGGGTGGCCAACCTTTTGATTCTATGCGCCAATATTTTGTACAATTAATTTAAACATTCACTTCCTTTCAGTACGTGTTGTAATATGGACATATTTTAAAAGTATAATAAAATCTATTTATTTGAAAAATATATGCTTATGACCAGGGGCATATCCAAGTGTTTTGAAAGGGAGGGGGAATCAATCAATGCTTTGACATTTTTTTTTCTCTTCAGATTTTGAGGGGGGGCATGGCAGAATTTATAATGTTTACATCGGCAAAATAAACATAAATAACTTTAATGCGTCTTTTGATTCTGATTTGTTTTCGCCAAACTAGCAATATTAGGAGTTCAATTCGTAACTGAAAGCAACAGACAATTCTTCAAGTTGGAATCGGACAGTCGCGACCTTTTCATCAAAAGGATGCAATGCGCCACTTGTAAGCATCCAATGCGCCACTTATGGCGCATGCGCCACAGGTTGGCCATCCTTGATCTAGCAGTATCTTGGGCATAACTCCACCTTTAGTTGCTACCCCACCCAAAAAAAAAACAAAGATAACGATCACTGATAGAGTTTCCCGGGTTATTTTTTTTATAATTTCAACCAGATATATCCCCTACCGGGACAGCATATTTATTGACTTATATTGTTTTAATTCTTCTTTTATGTGCTGTGTCACTTCAGGGCGTAGACGATCAAGGTTCTCCACCATTTCCTGTTTTTTTTTTTGTAAAGTAGCCGTTTTGTTATCTCTCCTAATCCCCGTTCTACCAATCATTTGCAAAATACAATATCATTAGACAAATTAGTATCTACTTTCCTCTGTCCTTCCTGCCTTTAACAGCTCCTTTAAGTGTCAAATTCTCCGAGCCTTCCTTTTTCATTACGTTTCCTATAATTTTCAAATGTCTCTTTCTGATTCTAAGTATAAACGTCCTTTTAGTTTCCATTTTCTTTAAAACGTTCTCGTTACTCACAAGCTCTGTTTACTGTATCCTCAGCATCCTGCTGTAGAACAACATTTCTGTCCCTTCTCCACCTGTGAAGATATTGTCCAGCATTTAATGCCATATACAAGCACCGATATTATATGAAGGTTCAGGATTCTTTGTTTCTAATTACCCACGTCTTCAAAAATTCTTGTGGCGCTTGATAGTGTTTTGAACGACAATAGTACTGTCGATGATTGCCTTCACAAACACCAAAGATGAGCGAGAGTTCTAAATTATAGTAGCCTATAACATACTATAGAACTTTAGTGTCATGGGCGAAATAGGCTCTAAAAATGTCGCTGGATAGATCTACCTTGTCTATTGAAACGACCATATTCTCATCACTGAACTATGAGCTATTCTATCATATAGATAACCTTCTCCAGACCCCATAAGATTGTACTATGGCGTTAGTATAGGGCTGGATAGATAGATAGATAGATAGATAGATAGATAGATAGATAGATAGATAGATAGATAATGATCCCAGATAGATAGATTATCTACTACGGATTTTGAAAAGACCGCTTCCCAGAATCTGTTTTACACCTCAATTTTTTTTTAATTGCACCTTTTCAATCGGCCAATGACTAACACTTTCTCGTAGATAGATAGCGAGCTACAAGGATAGATAGACAGATATATATGTTAATAAGTACACATATAGTTACGTTTGATGTGCGACTCGAATTTCGTTGCTTACCCAGTTTATTGGGTGCGAGATAGGAATGAAATTCGAGTCTCACACCAAACGCAGGTATATGGGGATTTATTAACATTTATTTCTTAGCTCTGTCTAATCACATTCAGCACTATTATGTCTACACCTCTTTGCTAAATTTGGTAATTATTCATTTGCTTACCAGCGTATGTACGCTAGCACACGCGTATACGGTCGCTAATACCTGGAAGATAGATAGATAGATAGATAGATAGATAGATAGATAGATAGATAGATAGATAGGGTGGTTTGTTACTGTGTGCATAGCACGGCGGGTGAAGGTTGAAACCTGTGGAAATAAGGAATGTAGTTCGTGTGCGGCGTTTTGTCAGTGGATTGTAGGATGGAAAATAATTGGTCAGCCATCAGGACGCGGAGACGCTGTCGGAACTGGAAGAATAGATAGATAGATAGATAGATAGATAATGAAGAGATTAATACAGACCCACATATAGATAGAGAGAGAGAGAGAGAGAGAGAGAGAGAGAGACTGAACAGAATGAAATCGTGTTTATGTAGGCGGAAATGTTGTTCTACAGGTAATAATCTTTCATGGGGAGTCGACTTATTTCGATTGCGATAATTATTAATTCTGTAGTGAAAGGGCCATTCAGATTTTCCCACATATTGCTTCTGGCATAGTGTGCATTCTAGGAGGTAAATTATGTTATGACTTTTACAGTTAAAGTCGTGGTAGATTTTGAAAGTAGATTTAGTGACTGAGCTAGTGAATGAATTCGTGTGTCTAATGTGGTTACAGCATGAGCTACTTTTGTTGTTACATGGTTGGGAAAATCCTTTTGTTTTTGGTTTATAACGGATTACCTTATCCTCTGAAATGTGGTTACTACCTAGGATTTCCTTTAGGTTCTTAGCAATAGAAGAGACAAAGGCTTGCGGCGTTTTGTCAGTGGATTGTAGGATGGAAAATAATTGGTCAGCCATCAGGACGCGGAGACGCTTCTGGACGCTGTCGGGACTGAAAGAATAGATAGATAGATAGATAGATAGATAGATAGATAGATAGATAGATAGATAGATAGATAGATAAAAATGAACAAACAGAACTTGAAAATTAACTTAGATAGATAGAGAGATAGAGAGATACTGAAAAGAGATTGAGAATGAACCGAATTTTTGTATTTTGTTTTGATAAAGTCCACATTGGACGAAACGCGTCAGCAATTACCAGTTTTCCTATTGTCATTTTTATTCATAAATATTGTCTTCTCTACTGGTTAAATCAGAGAAATTTTCCTATAGATAGATAGATAGATAGATAGATAGATAGATAGATAGATAGATAGATAGATACTGAACAGAGATTGAGAATGAACCGAGATAGATAGATAGAGAGAGAGAGAAAGAGAGAGAGAGAGAGAGTGAACAAACAGAGATTGAGAATGAACCGAGATAGAGAAATAGATAGACAATGATCCTAGATAGATAGATAGATAGATAGATAGATAGATAGATAGATAGATAGATACTGAACAGAGATAAATAGATAATAATCCTAGATAAATAAATAATGATCTTGGTAGATAATGATCCTACATAAATAGATCTTGGTTGAAATTTACACGGATCGACAAGCACATGGTGATTTCGTTGAGTGGGGTGCAAAACGGCCGAAACGTAGTGATAATTAAAATGAAGATGAATACAATAGTCCATATGTAAATAATGTAAACAAATAAACGTAGATAGATAGATAGATAGATAGATAGATAGATAGATATGAAAGAACTATTATATATCGAGACAAACGGACTAACAGACAGACAGATGCATACAAAAAACATACATGGTTGTCACATCTTACTCAGATTAGAGCCTATCGCCTCAGTTGTTATGGCTTCCATCTAGTTTCGGGACCATGTCTCCTATCTTAGGACGTTGACGGAACTGGAAGAATAGATAGATAGATAGATAGATAGATAGATAGATAGATAGATAGTGAAATAGTTACTGAACATTGAAGAATGGACATAGATAGATAGATAGATAGATAGATAAAAATGAACAAACTTGAAAATTAACTTAGATAGAGAGAGAGATAGAGAGATACTAAAAAGAGATTGATAATGAACCGAGATAGTTAGATAGATAATGACTCTAGATAGATAGATAATGATTCTAGATAGATAATGATCTGACATAAAGAGATACTGATCAGACAGAGATAGATAGGTTGATAGATAATGATTAGAGATAGATAGATAGATAGATAGATAGATAATGATCCTGGTAGACATCGGATTGATTGATTGTTTAACGGCATATGTGCCATTTAATACCGAAATTTAATTTTCTTGGGGGCTTTGAAGTAATACAGATATATGTTATTCTGCTTTCACAATTGAATACATGGTAAATGGTACTCAGATTTTGTGCATGTACAGGGTGCGATGGATAAATTGTCGTCTAGAATGAAAATAACACTGACAACTCGTTTTAAAATAAATATTTACCAAAATTACACAAAATATCTTGAAATACTAAAGAGTGAATTTATTAAATAAAATCGTCATTGGCTTCAACCTCGGCCTTCAGACAACTTCGGAATCTCCTGCATCTCTTCTGGACAGTCTCCTTTTTTAAGTAGGTGAATGTTACCATAATCCTTGTCTTCATTTCATCTTTGGTGTTACATGGATTTTTTTAGGTCCCTCATTCAACTGCACCTCCCATAATAATCAAAGGGGTTACAGTCTGGAGAGTTATGTGGTCAGATGTAAGGGGTGATGTGGTGGCAAAAATTGTCTAACCACTATGATTGGGTTCTCCTGCTTTTGTGGCATGGTGCAGAGTCCTTTTTCCGGTTATAAGTTCTTCCAGAAGCCACCCTCTTGACCCTGAGCAGCACTGTCTCCTCAAGGCACTTGATGTAAGCCTCAGTGTTGAGTCTGGGGCCCTCACCAACAAATCAGAATTATTAGAATGAGTTTTCCGAGCTGCCGTAACACCGCAATCACCAACTATTTTTGAATCCTCTTCTCTGTCCTCAAATTCAAACCCAAACACTATGAAATGTTCGTATTGGAGGTTCCGGCACGAATGCCAGATAGTTAGTTCATCATGCCGCTTCCAAATTTCTGGTGCAGTGAATTGCGTCATGGTGCTCGTTCTTTCAGAGACAGTGACCAACTGACCATACTGTACTGTGCAGTCGACAAAATCAAAAACAAACAACGCGCATGCGTGAAATTAAAATATATACATAGGTACCCATCGCAAACTATACAGTGTAACCCGGATATAAGAGAGTTGTCGGGACCGGAGAAGAAGTCTCTTATATCCGGGTTTCTCTTATATCCGGGTTTGGTCTATTTTATATACATTAACACAGGCTCTAATTTGGGACCAGAGAAAATCTCTCTTATATCCGGGTTTCTCTTATATCCGGGTCTCTTATATCCGGGTTACACTGACATGTTCGTGCGGATATAATTACGAGAGTCAGTGATATGTGTCTTTTATTTTTTTTACTTTTGTTGAAGCTCTATTTTGGAATACAGTTTGATTGAAAAAAATGGCCAGATATTATGTTTTAATGTCATGAAAAAGTTCATGTTGTTTACTTAGTCATATTTTAAACGGATTTGAGTGTAGTCGCTACAGTTTGTTAGTATGTGCGTATTGTTGGTAAATTTACAATAAATATGTAATGTTGGGAATTTTACTATAAATATGTATTGTTGGTAATTTTACAATAAATATGTATTGTTGGTAATTTTACTATAAATATGTATTGTTGGTAATTTTACAATAAATATGTATTGTTGGTAATTTTGCTATAAATATGTATTGTTATAATTTTTTAATTTTATTGTTGGTAATTTTACTATGAATATGTATTGTTGGTAATTTTACTATAAATATGTATTGTTGGTAAATTTACTATAAATATGTATTGTTGGTAAATTTACTATAAATATGTATTGTTAGTAAATTTTAAAATAAATTTATTGTTGGTAATTTTACAATAAATATGTATTGTTGGTAATTTTACAATAAATATGTATTGTTGGTAAATTTACAATAAATATGTATTGTTGGTAATTTTACTATAAAAATATTGTTATTTTTACAATAAATAATTGGTAATTTTACTATAAATATGTATTGTTGGTAAATTTACTATAAATATGTATTGTTGGTAATTTTGCTATAAATATGTATTGGTAAATTTACAATAAATATGTACTGTTGGTAATTTTACTATAAATATGTATTGTTGGTAATTTTACTATAAATATGTATTGTTGGTAAATTTACAATAAATATGTATTGTTGGTAATTTTACTATAAATATGCATTGTTGGTAATTTTACTATAAATACATATTGTTGGTATTTTTTTTTTATAAAAATGTATTGCTGGTATTTTTACTCTGAAAATATATTTTTATACTTTCGTAGTGTCTTGTTTTTGTTTGTAGGTTCACTATTTATCTACAGCTGGGACCCTAACACGTACCACCAGTCCGGGACAGGATAGACCTGGGAATAGCAGCAATTACAAATCTCCCGGTCAGAGGTCTTGCTGTTGTATGCAAAAACATCGGAACAATGTCTAAGACTTTAAATCAAACAGCGCATTCTTCGATGGTCAAATGCCATCTTTGGCGAACTTCAGAAATGCCAAACCATCTTGAAATAAACTAACTTCGGTGAAGTTGCTCTTCCTCCCCCACCTCTGTCTCTCTCTCTCTCTCTCTCTCTCTCTCTCTCTCTCTCTTTCTCTCTCTCTCTCCATGCACACACACACACAGATATACACACACATAGACACTCACTCTCTTTCCCGGTGGACTGTAATCTGTAAAAACCGTAGCCAAGATAGTAATTGGCCGAACCAAAGATTTATTTCTTCGCCCAATTTAGACAGAAAACACAAAGGAAATCAACCAAAAAAATTACTTCACTCAGGAACAAAGTCCCGATTATTTACGACCTCCTCATGTCAAATCGCAAGTCGTTAAGAAGCAAAGAATTAACCCTAACGCGAAAGATCAACGCGAAAAGACAGACACAGAAATCTCACTCCCTTGTGGAAAACTATCAATGTTCAGTTAGGGAAAAGAAAAGACCATAAACGTGTCTATTTCTTGTCGTATTGTGGCAATTAGGTGCTTCCATAATGTTCTTTACGCGCTGTTCTACAATGAGAATCCTGCTCGTTTGTCAACAGAAAAATGGCCGCAATTTACACACGCTTCGATAGTTGCCTGGGACGGTCCAACGTCGTTTTAGGTCGTCTAATTAATAAATGAAAAGTATTTCTACAGTAGTCCCTCAATTATTTGTGTTGGTTATTTCGCAAGATCTCCCAGCAGATATTTGAAACGCCGGACAGAACAAAACTGTACGTATATTGATTTGTTTTCTCACAAATACCTATCTGTGAAGACTTCTACTTCATCAATTAGAGGTAAGAAGTAATTAACAACGTTAACTAATCACACAATATTACATTTACAATATACTGCAATAAAGGTTATGTGAAGGAAACAATAATATCCGTTCCCATCTGAGATTTTCTTAGGCGATTATCTCCCTTGTTGAGATAATTCACATAGGTCACGTGACGGATCGTTTAGTGACGAAAGTGACAGTCAAATTCAGTATTTTATATGAGCTAAACCGTAAGGTTTCTTTCTTTAGGCCACACCTCCACTATCCCGTGGCGTGGATAGAGACTAAATTTGCTTAGTCAACAGTCCGTGGTGCAGTTTCTTTTTGGGAATATGTATTTCCCAGATACAGAAAGAATCTCCAGCTTGCTGTCCTCAATCTTGGAACACCCAAGACTCCATGTTTCCCATTCGCCTGGGACATAGATGAATCAAGCCCAGTAAAATCTGGAGTCCTAAACATGGCTTCTCCAGACACAGGAGTATCTCCATATTATATGTAAGGTCCTTCCTTTTCGTTTCTCCTTACATTCTGCATTGCTGTCTATATATATGTTATATATTATTCCCCGCATGGGGAAATGCATATAGTTTTGTGTATGTCTTAGTACTATAAAATCCCTCTGCGAACAATGTCTATTTGTCATTCATTTTTCTTTCAAACATTCCGTCTCGTCTGTGAACTACTGTGTTATTACATCATGGATATAATAATGCCCATAAGGGGGGTAATATAAATTCCCATTTATATTAACCCCATAACAGGGGTAATATAAATGGGAAGATACATATTTCTACCATATCTGTCTCCGGCTACACTATTTAAGAATAATGATTCCTGGTATTAAATGAGAGCAGTGATTAAATCAGTAACGAGCCTTCCTATGGATATTGACGGAAGTTAGTGCCATTGGTCTGTAAGATAGATTTGCTGCCCATTGCACGATGTCGCTCCGTCTAAGAACGTTGATCCATTTTAAACCTCAAATAATTCTTAGGAAAAATACCCGTGAAAATTTTACGGTTTTCCTATTTTTAATTTTCTGATTAATCTTAATTCTTAAGTCAATGAATGCGTAAGCTTTTGGAGAGGTCTGCCACAATAGAATATCTATAGAAATTCCCCTATCGCATCGTTAAATATTTGAGATTAACAACTTTAACGAAATATTGCAATAACAATTATAAATATGAATACTTGTTTTAAGTAAAAGGGTACAAATGAAAAGATTTGAAATTTGAAACTTTCTTCATTTCACTGAAACAGACGTTAAATACTTTTATCTTTCCTTCTTTCTTCTTGACTTTCTTTATTTTTTTCACTGGAATAAAGTGGCGACTCTGTTATCTTTTCCGTCCTTCCACGAAATGAATATACAGTTAATTGTTTATGAAGTATTGGCAAGTGGCGTCAAAAACTTCTATCTTCCCTTCTTTCTTTCTTTCTTTCTTTCTTTCTTTCTTTCTTTCTTGTTTTTCTTTCTTTCTTTTTCTCACTGTGAGCATCTCTTATATGTCTTTTCCATCTTTCCACATGATCAAAATGGCATAGTCCATTATTTTTTACGCATGGGGAAGAAACGCTAAAAGCTTCAATCTACACTTCTTTCTTTCTTTTTCTCACTGAAACCAAGTAGTGTCTCTGATATGTCTTTTACATCATTCCACAAAATCAAAACGGTATCGTTCACTATTCATGAAAAATTGGCAGGGGGGGCGTTTAAAAATGTATATTCCTCTCTATCTTTCTTTCTTGGTTTCTTTTTTTCTCACTGAAACCAAGTTGCATCTCTGCTATGCCATTTCCGTCTTTCTATGCGATCAAAAT